TGGCATCTGCCCTTCTGTGTCTTACTCCTTACTCTAAGATTCACAACTAACAAATATTTTTTCCACTGCAAAACCTTTAACATTAAACACACACACACACACACACACACACACACACACACACACACACACACGAGAGAGAGAGAGAGAGAGAGAGAGAGAGAGAGAGAACACGCAGAGAATGCATTGTACCACTGGTATTTTTTTTTCCGTGGGCTTCACTGGCCACTAGGTATTATTTTCTCAACTCAATTAATCTCATTAACATCAAGAATCGTAATTAACTCTACTCAAGTCAGTGTATGCTGTTCATGGTTAGTAAGATTGTTTGGAGACACAAGAATTAAGCTTAGTAGTAAAGTCTCCAGCCTCATTAACAGTGCAAAAAGCAATTAGCAATGTCTTTACATAAGTATGTGTTTGGGGGAAAATACCTGTGCAATTCATTTTTCTGGACTGGTAAATCAGAATAAAACTGTAGGTTACTCACTTTCTAATAATAATATTTTATTTTCACTTATGTAAACTTTCAAACCTATACTTATTAGTTTATGAATTATGCTTCAAACTGTAAATTTCTGTTGATATGAATTCCCCATTACAAAACAAATTCTATTTTAAAACCATAGTGAGAAAACTGATGTGTTCTGAGACTTAAAAATAATAACAACACTGGAAGGCAGTTTGGCACTTCCTCAAAAAGCTAAACATAGAAATTCCATATGACCCAGCTATTCTACTGCTTGGAAATACTCCAAGAAAACTGAGAAATGAGGCACAAACACAGACTTGTACACCTATGTTCTTAACAGCATTATTCACCATCTCAAGAACAGGGAAACATCCCAGATGTCCAAACACAATTGAATGGATTGAGAAATTATGGTACATACACATAGAAAAAATGATTTTGTATATTACTACATAACTTGGAAGGGACTGGAGAGCATTATGTTGAGTGAAGTAACTCACTTTCATAAGGACAAATACTGTATAAAACCATCACTATAGAATGAGTATGAGGATCCAAGGAGGGGTAGGGGTAGAAGCAGAGGGCAGAGAATGGGGAGGCTTGTTGTTGGCGTTAGGTGCCATCAAGTCAAGTACGACTAACAGCAACCCTATGAACAAAAGATCTGAACCTAGTCCTGTCCTGTGCCATCCTCACGCTTCCTGACACACAACAGCCCACTACAGCAGTCAGTCACCATGTCAATCCATCTGGTTGAAGGTCTTCCTCTCCTTCACTGACACTCCATCCTTCTCAACATCATGTCCCTCTCCAAGGAAGAGCACCTCCTAGCAATATGTCCAAAGTATGTGAGGTGAGGCCTCATCATTCTTGCCTCCAAAGGGCACTCTGGCTGTACCCTCTCCAAGATATATCTATTTGTTCACTTGACCATCCATCACTTGACCATCAGCAATCTTCTCCAATACCACAGCTCAAAGATACGAATTATTTTTCTGTCATCCTTATTCATTGTCCAGGTCTCGGATGCATATCTAATAATCAGAAAGACTATGGCCTGAATCACACACACATTAGACCTAAAACTCAAAAAAGCCCCAGACATCTTTGCTATGCTGTCCTACACTGGATTAATTAGATTTTTGAATTGCCTAAAAAACAAACAAACAATAAAAAAGCACAAAATTAAATAAATTAAGTAGAAATGTGAATATATTTGCTTATATTCCAGGAGAGACAATGATGCAATTAGGAAGCATGAAACCAAGTTTAAAGCAGCCCACACTTGTTCGGCCTTGATTTCTGTTTCTGTCAGAGCACAGCTTCCCTACCTCCTCCTACTTTCCACCCTGGGTTCTACATGGCTGTGGCAATACTCAGTTTCAAAAGCTTTAACTATCCCGAACAGGAAGAAATAGAATTTCATTTTATTTTAGTTTAAAAATGTGTGGTAAAGAACTCTGAAAAGCCTTAATTCTCCCACTATCCTGAAACTCACACCAGGAGACTGTGTGTCTAGGATGAGCTCTTTTACCACAGGAAGGAGACTCACTCAAACACTGACACCAGGGAATCCCTAATATCAGGCAAGCCATTCAGAAAATCACGTCTTACTCACAAATGTTCCCTGATGAACTTGAGGATAGAGCTGTCTCCTCACTCTATCTTAAAGCCAGAACTTCAGCAGCTTGAGTTCACTTGTCAGCTATTCTTTTCCCTCCCAATCACCTGACATTATCCTTGACTTCTTGATATCTGTATCATAATCCCTGTATCAAAATTGACTCATTTCACTATAGTCTTTTTTAATATTTATATGCTGCTGTTAGGATGAGGGCGAGTGTTTTGTGAACTTCAGTGTCAGCTGGACGCTGCCTCTTGCATCTTGAAGAGAGGCAATATGGAACGCTTGGGACACTTGTGGCTTTCTTTTTGCTCCACGTGGGTGTCAGCAGAGCGGACTTGCCAGATGAATTGGGTGGGGGTCTCTGGCCCAGAGTTGGCCAGTATTTGGGTGTGCTGGAATGGTAAAATAATATAGGGCCCTCAGGTCTGCTTTTGGTCAAACATTCTTCTAGGTCGTATAGCCCTGGTGTGTCCACTTGCTGTACAGAGGTAACTTGTGGTTGCTGTGAAGCTGAACACTGTGACAGTGATGTGTCAAATGTGATAATAGTTACTCATGGAGGACAATGTTTGGTTGTACTCCCTGATTAAAACAAGCTTGGAAGCAGGAGTGGCATCCATTTCCACAAGAGCTTGCCTCCGGAAACCCTATGAACCTGTAACAAGTGTTGAGGACTTTCGTTCATAGGGTTGCTATGAGTCACCTATGACTCAATGACACTTAACAACAACAGCATGCTGCTATTATTGGGTGTCATAGATCTGAACCCTGTCCTATCCTATGCCTTCTTAATTATTTTTAACATAATTATTTCATGACTGCAGTAATTTTGTCAATCATCTCGCTGAGGTCTTTCCACTCTTTTGTTGTCCCTCCACCTTTCCAAGCATGATATCCCTTTCCAAGGAATAGCCTATCCTAGCAGCATGCCCAAAGTATATGAGATGAGCTTCATCATCCTTGTTTCCAAGGAGCACTCTTAATGTGTTTTTCCAAAGACGTATCTGTCTATTCTTTTGCAAGTCCATGGGAGCTAATGTTTATATACTGTTGTTGTGTACTGTTGAGTCAGAACTAGCCCATAGCTGACCCTCCAGCAGGTTTTCAGAGATAGTTAATGGCATGGGAAGAGACTGTCCATCCTTCTCCTGCAGAGTAGCTGGTGGATTTAAACCATGTGCCTGTGGGATTGCAGTGCAGCTTCTTACCACTAAACCACCAGAGTTCCCTAACATTTATACAGTATGCAGAATATTATTTTCATTCATTGTCCTCAAGTCAGTTCTAACTTTTAACTTCATGTGGGCAGAGGAGAAAATGAAGCAGACCCCCAGAACTGTCCTCAAATAAATCTATGAGTGGGTTCAAGTTCCCAATCTTTTGGTTAGCAGTCCAGCAAACTAGCTGAGAAAATTAGAAGATTCGTATAATAAAAAGGAGCTGATACATTAATTTGCTCATCCCAAGCAAAGTAGATTTGTGAGACTCAAAGAATCAAGCATTGGAGATCAGCTTCTGAAAAGTTTAACTCAAACATGTAATGTTTCCAAATGGGTAGAAAGGGACTCACAGCCAACTCTTTGTTTTCTGAGTCTATGCATCGCAACGGAGGATACTGCCCACGCTGTGGAGCAGCTGGTGGATTAGAGCCTGTGGATTCACAGATAATTCCCTATGGACCTGAACCATGCCAGTGAGTGTCTCTGAAGGTTACAGCCTTGACAGTCCTAAGCAGCATAGTTTTACTCTACAACAAACGAGACTCACCAGGAAGCCATGTGAGAGCAACTGTTCTTTTCCTTTTAAAGAGGAGTGTAATATAAATCTTTATATTAGAAATTCTGATCTACCATCACATGACTGGAGAAGACTAAAAATGAATGTGATGAACTATAGAAAGTTTGCATGATTATTCAAGTACATTCAGTAGATATTATTTTATTCTTTGACCAGATCACATATTAAAATAACATAAATGTTCCATATGGTAACTGTTTCTTTTTATTTGGGGCATATTTTTTAATCATTAGAAGTGAAAACCCAGACATTAGCTGTCTGAAAATGCCTTTTAGTTAAAAAATGTTCAACTATACAATAGTCATATTCACTTTATGCAGTTTATTAATAATATTGTCAGAGATGGAATTGTGTCCCCATGCATATATCTATAGAATACATTGTGCAAGCTATGTCATTATCTCTCATAATCTGATAAATCAAACAGTTGTGGGAAGTTTAAATGTGGAATGTAACACTCCCAATTTCATCGCACCCATAATAAGGTCTAAGGGTGGCTCCCCAGGATGCGGCCAATAAGAAATTTTCTCTCACTAGAGATAATGAGCTAAAAACTGAGGCAAGAGAGCCGAGGGCCTGGGGGGCTCCGAACTATCAAGAATTAATCCCCAGTAATAGAGTGCATCTTTTGGACCTGGTGGTCTTTTGCATGACAGAACTCCCTGACTTCAGGAAAATCAGATCACATGAGCATCATCAGCAAGCCAACCTACAATGCTGAAGGAATGCACTTTGTTCCACAACCAGCACACAGAGTGCCTTCTCCTAGAAATGGTACCTGGACTTTGTAATTCTAACATCCTGAAAAAGATGCTGTGGTCACCTAGTCAACAGGGTATCGCGCTGCTAATCTAAAGGTTGTTCCTCTCTGTTTAAACTGAATCCTCTAGCAGCTTCTATGGGAGGACAATGAGCAGCTTCTTCCTATTAAGATTTACAGCCACAGAAACCCAATGGATGGTTGCTCTAAGTTGGAACTGACTCGATGGCAATGAACTTGAGGGCTCTCTTTAAACTTCCTAAGCTATAAGAGAAGAGGTTCATGTTAAAGCCATCCCCAGTAGGTTCTCTGTTATGGCAGCATTAGATAACGAAGACATGTACCTTTTGGCCATCACTGGTCCCACGTGATTCTTGACACAGAAGACCTTCCGTGTCTGAATGCCCACGCCACATGTCGCTTCTCCGTTCCAGCCAATGGTTGCATTAAGGGCAGTGACCAGTGTGTCTTCAGAACAGGCACTCCAAGGTGACGTCTCCCAGTAGAGTTGCATACAGGAGTGGTCATTGCATAAACGATATTCTTGGAGGGCCTGAGTCGGGGGGCATGCTTTCCCACCTGAAAATAAGAAAAATGAAAGATAATACCGAGTTATTGCTACTAAGTAGCTGTTATTTGTTACTTTTGTTACTATAATGGCCTTTTGGACACTGTCTTCAAATGGCAAGAACAATTGTATTCTTCTTCAAAGTTTAGTCATTTGTTCCTGATGAACAGAATACTATATTATCTGTGCTCTCCTCAATAACAATAGGCAGCTATATCTATAACTCTATCTATATAAAGAAAGCCTACATAAGTTAGCTATACAGGAAATGTCTATTACCTCAAAGTGGTGTTAGGTAGGATACACACACATACACCCACACATGAGCTCTTTTCCTTAAGAGAGGTATTATTTTTCTCAGAACCACTTTAAGACACCAGCCCTCCACCAAGCAGTGCATTTTACTGAGAACCAAGAAATGCAAAAGTATCTGCTAAAACTTGGCAAGCAAGGGCCCATCCGTAAATGCTGAAATCATGTCTGAAAGCATGCTATCCGCTGGCAGTGAGACCAGACAGATGTGCATCCTAACACTCCTGGGTGAATCAAGCAATCAAATTCCATTACTGTCTTTTCTTTCTTGCTTTTATATTCATGTCAAAGTGTTATTTATCTAAAGTATTGATCTCTTCCTAGTCGTCCACACTATAATGTTTTATTCAGTGGACCCAATGCTCAAGAAGATTTGTGACCTTGGTTTTGTTATTCTTGTTCTCCCTCCCGCCCGCTCAACTAAATACTACTGCCTAGTTTTCCCCTTTCCAGAAATATAAAAGACAAGTAAAAGAAAGCAACTGCTTTAAGGATATGAAAATCTTCATTCGTCTTGACCCTGGCCCCATTTCTCAGGATCACAGATTAGAATCCTGTTTAAAAAGGAGTTCCTCACAGACAGTGGTCAGAGGGCTCTCCTGCTTGAACAGAGCCTTGGGCACATGAAGTCTTGGGAGGGCATGAAAGGAATGGTGTTTGTGTCTGGGGACAAAGATCAACACTGTAAATGATAGGAACATCTGCTCCTCTAATTTGCCCTGATGTCACTCGTCTGCATTCCCACAGCACTTTTTAGTTTCTTCAAAGTCATTTTCAGGGCCTTCATCTCTCTCCCTCTCACAACAGGCCTGCCTGACAGAACAGGAACCCAGGGAGTTTGGATCAGGGAGCTTGCCAATGTTAGTGGTAGTTCCAGGTCAAGAAGCCAAGTCTCCTGATTCCTAATTTGGATCTCTTTTTACCAAAAGTCTTCCAATTATGCTGTCAGCCACAGGAGCTACTTGAAACTGGATGGGTATCAACTGAGCTTTTCTTCCTTTATTCCTTCTTGTGAAAAAGAAAAGGTTCTTGGTTGAAATCTTTATGGAAGGAGTTAGCCAGTTCTTTCTGCCAAGACATTACTGGGTAAACTCAAACCACCAATCGTTTTTGTTAAGACCTGATCACAAACCATCCACCTCCATAATCTCATTGCCACTAAATCAGAAATGACTCATAGCTGATCCTCTAGTGGGCTTTCAGAGGCTATAAATTGCATGGAAAGAGACTCTATCTTTGTCCCATGGAGCATCTGGTGGATTCAAATCACCGATCTTTGGGTAAGTGTCAAAGTGTAAAAAGTATAAAAGTCTGAAAGGGGAATGGGTGATGAGAGGGGGCTGAGAGTGGGGAGAGGAAAAGATCACAGTGTTGCAGAGTTTGGTGGGTGGAGGGAGTGGGTGAAGGTATCAGGAAAGATTCAGTGAAGACCTGAAAAGACGAGGTGATAGTGGGCATTGATCAATAACAACTGGTTTTATAAACTGCAGTGTATGGTAATGATAATATGAAGCACAATTTGAGTGGAGGCATGTATAAAACAATGTAAATGAATGAAACACAGTGTATATAGATTTTGTATGCAAACCAATATAAAATTTAAAAAGATACATGTCAAATATATATTTCATTCAATTAGATCATTCAAAACAAAAAAGAAATGATAATAATAAATCACCATAAAAATAGCTCCTTGTCTATTAGGTCACCAGAATGCCCTAGATATGAGCTAAATATAAATATGTTAATCCAATATATATATATATATATATATAAGGTTAAGGAGGGAAAATAAAGTGAAACTATAAATTTGATATTTTTAATTGATTTGCATCCTTCAAAAAGTTACAATGAAACTCTAACTTCATATTTGTAAATATGAATCTAGGTGGAAATGAAGGTTTTGTTTCTTATTTTAATGAAAACCAGAGTAGGACGAGCCACCAATTGAGGTTCTTCTGAGCGTTGTCTAGAAAAAAGAGCACGAGAGACAGGTGCATCCGGGAGGAGCTCACAGGATGAGGAAGGCTGATACCACCATCCAGGAGCAGCAAGAGTGCTTATCACCACAGATGCCAGGAGGAAAGCCAGCCCCAGGAAGAATCAACATGTGCAGCATTTAATATCTAGAAGTGTGATAAAATAAAATTCTGTCCTTTCAAGACACTTACAATCTTGTTTGTTTGTTTGTTAAGACAGCATTACTGCCTAAAGAATAATCAAACATGTCTTAGAGGAAGTGTAACCCAAGTGCTCCTCTCACATACTTGGTTCAAGTCTCTGGAATAAAGACTTCATGCCAGGAAGAGTAGAGGATCGGTGAATAAGAGGAAGACCAATATTGAGATAGATTGATAGTGACTACAAAAGTGGGCTTGAAGAGGTGGAAGGACAGTAAAGATTCAGATCCACTCTTCACAGGGTGACTGTGAGTCATGGTTGACTTCACAGCACCTAACAACAATGGAAAAGGACAGCTGGAATCAAAGTTCACAAAATGATCACTTACAAGTGGTTCTAGGGAAGCGTTTTAGAGCTAGTAGCTCTTATATTCATCTTTTTTTTTTTGTTTTTTTGTTACTCACCATCTCCAGCCAAAGCCAGGATCGTCCTTGACCTGGTCTGTTTGCCATCTGAGTTTTTGTTTGAGCAGGACTGGGAACAGGATGACCACTCTGACCACTCGCTCACCATACAGTCCATTCGACAAGGGGTTTCACAAGCAATCTGTTCTGGAGGAGGAGGTGCTGGGCAGAGACTCCCTGATACGTCTTCTCCTGTTATCAACGAAACCAAGAGAGACACTGGTTAACACAAAATCAAGACCAGGCTGAGGCACGACAAGGTCCCATGTTTCCTCTATTCAGTTTAGTTTAGAGGATTTCACCAGGTGTTTAAATGAAACGAAATCAAGAGCAAAAAAAAACAAAAACAAAAAACCCATAGTTTTATCTGCCTTTCATAGCAGTTACGGCAAGAAAAGTTGCCTGGGGATTAGTGGGCATTTAGAAAGGCAGACACCACAGTAAAAACCCCAGACTTTATTCTTCATAGGGGCAAAGCTGGCTTCCTCCAGGAACATCTTCACTACAGATGGTTGGAGACAGATATGCCTGGCATGCTATTAACAGCCATATATATAACAAGGATGTGATTTTCTACAAAATGAAGAAGAGGATAATGTATTGACCTAAACTCCACATTTTATGCTTAAAATACTATTCTGATCTATTAAAGAAGAGTTTTAAAATCTAACTTTTTTTTTCTCTTTTTTGGCAGGTCTTTATTTTTTTAACATCAAAAATGTTTTAGTTTTTTAAAGGCATTTTCACCGTTAAATATAAAACTTGAAGATTATTATATGATAATTCTTTTGTTCTGTTTGAGACAGAAATAATCTCACTAGAACTGAAATGAACCTAGAACTAAAATTATGTAATGAGCTGAGATGAAAGTTGAAGACCAACCCTATTCTTCTCTCAAAAAATCAGAAAAATTACAGTTACACTCAGAAGCAGGGCACACATGCATTCCAAATATCATAGGTATCAAATTTTGCTATTATTATGCAATCAAGCCATAAATTTATTTTACCAATTCATAAATTTTCTATAGAAATAATTTTATAAGATAATCATGCCATAGCACAAGATCTTGCCAGAAAATATAAAACAAGGAGAAATGATCTTTTACAACTTCAGAGATTAAGAATAACAGGATCAGCGAGAGCGACGCAGCGCCAGCGAGAGCAACGCAGCGCCAGAACACCACCACCAGACGGGAGAACGCCGCCGCCAGATGGGGTTCCACCATGAGAGGGGCCTGGAAGAGACCCGGGAAGAACAACAGCCAGCCACCTACCGCAGAACTCCAGAGGAGCGAAGACTGTGAAACCCCAGAGGAACGAAGACTACCGACACTGTGTGACCCCCCTGCAACCCACACCTGTGTGACCCTTAACACACAGGGTGCTGCTGCATAAAGCCCCAGCAGCACCAAAGCCCCACCCCCACCTCTTGGTGATAGTATCCAAGCCCTGCGCTCATTACCCCCTAGTCCCTTGCTTTCCTCCCCTTGCCCCACCCCCCTTGCAGCTCCACAACCACACATCTCAACCCCCACCAGAGTCCTATGACCTCAGGGCACCACCTTGGATCCAGCCATCACCCCAAGCTATCAGGCGAGCTGTTGAGGAACTAACCTGGCAGGAGAAAGGCCGGTAGGATCTTATCTGTGTTTACTGGGGCATTGCTGATTACCCGGTAGAGCACCTAAGGG